TATATATATATATAAATCACTCACAAACTATTGATTATATTAATTGTTAATAGGCAATTAAATCAGCACTATGAAACAATTATGAATTAAATATCATACTACCAGGTTGTCAACATATTGTTATAATGGATAATGTCTGTGGTAATAGCACCCAAGTGCATTGGGGATATCCCATCTATCAGACAAAATCCAAATGCCGATGTCAATCTAGTGAGCCGTCATGCAAAATCATAAGAAATCAAATAAGGGTACGGAGCTGAGTGCTTACACCCATGATATCTCAGCTTCTACTGCCTTTCACTGTTTATAGCCAGTTGTGGGAAGGCAGTTACCTTTAAATTTCTTAAAGTAGAAATGAATTGAAACCACCCTAATATTTCTACTAATTAAACTTCCAACCTCCACCCTTACAAAAGAATATCAAATCAAACTATAAACTGTTTAATAGAATTATACACCCTACCTTAAAAGTTCTTACTTACAACTTTCTCCTGAAGATTTATTCAAGTATAACAAGGGAATGCTGAGACAAGCCCAGCTACATGAAGTAGCCTTTCTGTCCCGGTTAATCTGAATAAAATCACTTGTAAAATTGTTATTAGCTACTTATAAGCTAAAGTAACTAACTCTCTCTTTATTTTATTTATTTTCATAAGATATTTTCCTCAATCGATAGTTTAGTTTCCAAAATATTTTTGTATTTATCAAAAAATAAAGTAAGGTATTTCTTTAATTGCCTGTCTTTATAGCCGTTATCTTTCATATTATTTTGTAATAATAGAGCATTATCCATAAAAAAATTATATTTATTACAGACTATTAAGAACCATTTTAGTTAAGATATAATAATACCTTTTAATATGATACAAGGAATAACACTCTCAGGTGTACGTAGACGAAGAATGGGAAAATGAAATTCTCGTCTTTTATCAAAAATAGTCAACTGCACTGTACCTTCTATAAAAGTAATGTCCAAATCTAAGTAATTAGCATGGACCTCATTATTATTATTACTTCTTTCTGTTGTAAGTTATGTTGGATATATTAAGTTTTGGTGTAAAATTCATACTATTTATAGATATTAATGGAAATTGTAAATGTATAAGTTAGGATTTAAAGTCTGCTTCATAAATGAGTTTTCATAAAAGAACAGATACAGGTTGGCCATATTTGAAGAGAAGTTCATTCCCATTGGAATACCCACCGTTTGCTTATATACTTGTTCGTTAAAAACAATATAACTTTTATAAATACAGAAATGGAGTATATTGTTACATTGAATTCTAGTAATTTTATATTTGGGTCTCGTTATTTTATTATTTATAAAGTTATCAAACAAATCATTGAAAACCCTGATCAAATCTTTTAGGTCTATTTTACTATACAGTGTAGTAAAGTCATATGTAAACATTGAACTGGCAGTTTTTGAAGAACTTAAATTATTTAAATATTTTGAAACTGGAATGTTATTTTTTAAACAAGACATCTAGAATATTAAGAACTATGGAAACATTTAATGGCTATGTTTAAAGAACTAGTAATAAATCTGAATTTCACAGGATTTTTATGTAATTTTAGAATTGCATATAAATATGGTAAATTTGTACAAGAATAATCTCTAAGGATATTCCATTTTTTAATAGCCTTCTTTAAATTAGTAATAACATTATTTTTCTTTAAAATACTTTTAGTAAAAGTATAAAATTTTTTACATACAAAACTAAAATTGGAATAATAATGAATTGATTTTTATTTTATTTTATTTTTAAAGACATTGAAAGAAATATCAAATTTATATTGAGATAAGTTTAAGGTTCTTAATCAATTCTTTATGGAATTAAAAATATAATTTCCATTTAAAAAAGAAACATGGCAGATAATAGGATTGTTTACTTATTTTAAGAATATAATCATTAATTTTTTAAGATTTCACATTTTTTTGTGCATCTTAAAATTCTATATTTAGTACTTTTCTTTAATATTGATTTTAATTCTTTATCTTTAACAACTTCTAAATTTCCTGTAACTATATGATTATGAAAGATATCTTTAAAAACACTATTATTACAGTTACATATTGACATACAGATTGACAATGGCATTGGATTTTGTCTGATAGATGGGATATTCCTAACACATTTGGGTGCTATTACCACAGACATTATCCATTATGACAATAAGTTGACAAACTCGACTGATAACAGTAATGCAATTTATCACATTACCTTTATCATTTCAGGTTGTCAACTTATTGTCATAATGAATTCATTATTGTTTTATAGTACTGATTTAATTGCCTATTAACAATTAATGTAATCAATAGTTTGTGAGCTATTTACATATATACTGTATTTCTAACATGAAAAGGTACCACATATCCTATAGTTCAATTAAACTATGCTGTAATTAGCAGAATGTTTCTTTTTTAGAAATTTGATAATGGTCCTCCCTCTGTAAGTGAAAGTTACAGAAAAGCAGAACAATTGGTATTGTACATGCGAGCACTTCAGCTGCTGTCATCATCCCTGCAGCTGTCTTGTCAAGAAATTCAGGAAAAACGTTTAAAACCATCACCACAGGTTCATGCAGGTAATGAGAAATAGTTTTAAGTTCTAGTGAAGAGCAACCAAGATGTAGTTAGTAGACAGTAATCATTTAATAACCATTTGAAAAAAATAGTGGTTCATGTGTTAGGTGTTTTTCCCATTGTAAGTTGTCGTTCATAGTGTTGGTAGTTGTTTACAGTGACTTATACTTTTGGGATTTAAGACACATAGTAATGTATAATGAAGAGGTTACCAAACACAGTACATGAATATTTCTTGATACCATCCAAAAATTGAATAATGTTTGAATACAGCATATAGAATTATTTAACTTATAAGCCTTCAGAGATAAAATATGAAGTTAAAAAACACTTTTACACATTGTTTTATTATAAATCATATTATTTATCATAAAATTTTAACCCTCATTCTGTGGGTAGGCTTAAGTGCACATGTCATGAACTTTTTCACAGTTACATTGAAAATCTAATTAAACTACTTTATTATCAAGGTATACAAGTTCTTAATTTTATAAGAAAATATTTAAGAAAGTACTCAATCTCCCCTAGTGACATTTGTTCTTTAATTCTTCCCCTTCTCTAATTCATTTCCCACCTCTCTCTCTAAAGTGTGGAATGTAACGTAAGCTGCTCATTATAATATAGATATTACTAAGGCAAAGTCCAATTTTTATAGAGTTCAATCTTATTTGTTTAATGAGTCATAAACTAGAAAATCAGACACACTTGTCACACACACCTGTTACCTCCTGTCTTTCACAAATTGCCAATGACACTCTCTGATGTTATATACTATACAATTTATAACCAATAGAAGGGTAACTTTTTAATATACTGAATGATGTATAATGCTACATTATTTTTGGTACAGAGTATTGTCAATTTCATCATCAGTTTTAAAGTTTATCTCATAGTGTTCAGATCAAGCAGCTAAGGGAATTAACTTAAGCCCCTCTTGTCTTAGTCAGAAAGCCAGTTAAAGTATAATAGTTATGGGACATTGTTTTGTGATTGTTATTATTTTGTTTTCTTAGGTACATTAATTAAGTAAATAAAATTTAGTGTACTATGACCAAAAAAAAGGCTTAAATTTCATTGGTAACCAACATCAAATAAAACCAAGAAGTCTAAAATAAGTAATATATTTCTTGTTTTCCATGTATATTCTTTATTTATTGCTATAGCTGTAACTAAATTGTGAACATTAGAAAGTATTAGGTTAGATAAGGTTAAGTTATTAAAAATACTATGTTTGCAAGCTGAGCATGTGTTATGTCATTCAATACAGTAACATGAGCTACATGTTTATTGTGTGATTTATAGCTTCTATACAAGATTATTAGTTAGACACAGTTCAAAGGGCAATAAAACAATAAAATTAAGTAGAAACAGACAAAGACTGTTAAAAGCCATTAGCTATTTAGAATAAATAATTTTTTGTTTTCTGTAACAATCTCCAGTCATTCAGTAAGAAAATAGGGTAATTTTGATTTATCTTGTATTTTTTGTGGTGTTTGCAAGATCAGTGAAATCAACTGAGTCTGTATAAAGTTAGAGTAAAGAAAATAATAGATAAAATATGTAGTTTTACTGAAGAAAACATTTGATATTCATTTAGAAGGTTTTAGAGATTATGTAAATGAAATTTAAGGTTTCAGATGAAGAAAATTATTTTTCATCTTAACATGAAAATCACTTTGCACTCAGAGCAGCCAACACTCTGACTCCATAAATTTACAAACAAATCTGTAGTAAAAAAACTTAATTAAAAACCTGATTTTTTGTGTACCAAAGACTTGTAATGTTACCTGGAAGCTTGCTAAATTTTGTGAAGATACACTCAACATATTAAAAGTTATACGCCCGGCATGGCCAGGTGGATAAGGCGCTCGACTCACAATCTGAGGGTCGCGGGTTCGAATCCGCATCCCACCAAACATGCTCGCCCTTTCAGCCGTGGGGGCGTTATAATGTGACGGTCAATCCCACTATTCGTTGGTAAAAGAGTA